GTCACGGGCAGCTGCGGGGTCGACTGTGGGAGGCGCGCGTGCACCGGGGCCTCTACTTCCCCGGGCACGCTGCTCAGGCCAGCCAGCTGGCCCGGCAAACTCCCGCGGTGGCAGAACCCCTCCGCGGTCCTGGGGCGCGCCAGACACAGCCCCGGGTTGCGCGGGCCCCGCCAGGATGCCGGCTATCCCATGTGCCGGGCCCCGGCTCCCAGCGCCTCGGCCCCCCTGAGGAGCCGCAGGCGGCAGGACGACAGCCTCACAGCGCGGCCTCCCCGGGCGCTCCGGACTCGCGCGGCTGGCGCCCCCTGGCGGCTTCCAGCTGTCAGGCTTCCCCCACGGGTGTCTCCTCGGCTGCTGCAGCCGCCGCTGCCGCAGGCGTGGAGCACACGGTCTGGGGCGGCGGCCTCACGCTCACTCCCCCGCAGCAGGGACGTCAGGCCTCTCTTAGACTCAATCAACGGTACTACTACTACGCTTTTTCTTACCTTTTGAAAAGTCTGAGTCATTATGTTCTATAGAATTTACTACATTCTGGATTTTGTTTTCGTCATGGTGCCATTTTGACAATTACTCTATCCCTATTTTTCCCCGTAAGTGGGCAGTTGGCTCCTGAGGCTTGATGAGTTTCGAGTTCAGTGATTTGGGCAGAGGTGCTGCTGTGCTCTTCTGATTGCATCACATCGGGAGCACGTTGTGTGGTTGCCTCCCACTGGGCTCAGGTGTCAGTCTGATCCTTCACTTTATTGTTCCTATGAGGTTTTCACCTGCTGATTTTAGTGGCCATTTTTTGCCTTTGTCTATGTCCATTGTGGCAAAATGGTGATGTTCTAATTCTGTCCTTCCCTCTGCATGTGTTAACTGAAGGTCAGAAGAACAAACCCTATCTATAGGAGTGGCAGGATAATAAGCAGGCACTGATGCAGTAGTTAACTCCAAAGGTGACCAGTATGATTCTTGCTGTGTTATCTTTATGAACTGATGATATTTTATAAACATTTCATGATCCTCAGTATAGTGTATCTGCTCTTTCTGATGCAACTTTTCCAAGTTTGGCCAATGACAACCCTTTCAAATACTGACAGTGGACTCACTTTTCAGAAGCCCCACTTCAGAAAGAAATGTTTTTTTAGTCACTTGAAAAGGAGACTTTATATACAGTGATGGATTAGAGCCACAGAATTATGTTGAAGGTCAGATCCTATGTTAGTCCCGAGGTCAGTCACGTGACTTGTGTTTGGCTTTTAGCTCTGGAAGAGGCATCCCAGTGCCTCACCTATATCCAGCCCAGCCTCACCTATATCCAGCCCAGCCTCGTCCGGCTCACAGACACCAGAGAGTCCAGAAAAGAAAATGAGGTAATCGGTGATTTGCTGTGTGGATTCATGAGAGGGTGGGAAAGGAGGGAAGTTTACTTGGCTCTTAGGCTTTCTGAGACTCTGATTTGGAGAATCAAAACGGTTCACATCTAAAGGGCAGAGACGGTGCCGCCCTGAATCGCTCTTGTCTCTTGCAGTCATCACACAGTGTGACCACACCGGCCTCTGCTTCCCCTCATGCTGCAGTGTGAGGGGCTGGGGTGTAAGGGGAAGGGCTTGCACGGGACAGAGTGAACAGAGTGACTGATGGGGGTGGGCAGCAGGCTTCACATTCTAGACCCTAGCTGACCCCCTAGGTGCCTGACTGGAATGCCACTTTCTTAGAGATAGAGGTGTGACTAGGACTCTCAGAAACTTGGCAGGTTGTGTGTAAGGTTCTGAAGATAGTTTTCTGCTGGTTTTAAGACAAAGGTGTCTCTATGGCTTCTGTGAACTGCCTCCCTTCATTTCTTTAGGAATTTTCTTTGCTTCTTTTTGTTGTCTTCTTTTTGTTCTAGACTTTGGTCAGTTGGTAGTTAGGAGGGTGTAAGAAGTTATCCAGTGCTTTTCTAAACTTAATTGTGCCTCTTCCTCCTACAGAGAAGAGGACGGTCCTCAGGGATCTGACTCTTCTGCTCCGCCAGTAAACAAGGAATCCCAGGGAGAACAGGGTAAGTTGATGAATGCGTGGCTGCCTAACAGCCACGCCCATGTGTTGGCGGTAGTGTATGGAGGGCGCATGGACCACAACCCACTGGCAACACGTACTGAGCCTTGATTTGTGTGGGGCTTAGTAGTTACAGAGAGAGATGTTCCTGTCCTTCAGGGTTTATGGTCTGGTAAGGGAGAAAGGTTGCCCAGACTCATATAGCATAACCCAGGCCACCTGGGGGGTTTGGGGTAAGGTAAGCCTAGGTGGGGGAATCTGAGCAGACCAGGCAATTTCTGTCCAGTAAGCAACCATGTGCACGTATTTGGAGCAATGACCACTTCACGTTGTCTTGACTGTTAGAAATAATCTTGCCAACACCATCCAAGTGCCCAAACCATAGAAGATAGAATCTCAGAGACACCTAGTGAAAGTTCAGTATTAAAAACTAGGCTGGATAGACATACCTCTCCATTTCAGGAAGAGAGCAGGAAGAAAGTAAGTCTGATACTTTATTTGCAGATACAACCACATGTAGGGAGCAGAACTGGGATTCTCCACCTACACCCAGCAGCTCCCAGACACGCAGATGCGAGTTTCCCCTGGTGCCCTCCAGGCGAGGGATCCCACTGATCTTGGTATGATCTGTCCACCCATCCCTGCCCATGCCAGTCTGGCTCCCCTGCGTCTCAGGAATGGAAGGGTCAGTACAAGTTTCTTTCACTTCTTTCTGACTGGCTTGGCTTCTCCTTTTTCTCTTGGTAGCCTCCAGCTCCCTGGATCAGCCGCTTGATCGCGGTCGAAGAGTATTACCAGGAGAAGCAAGCTCAGCCACAGTGGCTGAAGAGGATCTTCGAGGATAAGACTGGTAAGGAATATGGGTTAATTTCACACTCCAGAGATGGTTCCCAGAGTCATATTTGTTGACTCCTGAATCCCTGGCCCAGCAAGGCTTCTAGAGCACCAAATACCATCACGTTTGAGATACCATAGTTGACATTTTCTGTTCTTCTTCCTAGAATCTGCTGCAGTGGCAATGTTTGGGGGGGAGGCATTGTGTATTTTCCTCTGTTCTTGTCCCCGCCATGACAAAGAATTGAAGGGCAGAGACACAGTAGTGCAACAGAGTAAAAGTTTTATTTAAAGTTACTTAGCCAGAAAGAAGTGCAGGTGACCTCAGAGAGGGAGGAGTGCCCTGAAAGGGTGGAGAGCAAGACTTTAAGATTAAAAGGTCACACACTTAGAAAGTGTGGGTGACTTCAGAGAGGGAAGTGCCCTGAAAGGTTGGGAAGAGTTGAAGTTATGCACTTAGGAAGTGCAGGTGACCTCAGAGAGAGGAGTGCAGCACCCTGAAAGAGGGAGTTTAAAGTTAAAAGGTTATGCACTTAGAAAGTGCGGGTGACCTCACATAGGAGCACAGTGAAAGGTTGGGGGTTCCCCCTTTTAAGGATTTTTCAGGAATGTGACAGAGGGTTAGGGGTGGGCTTGTTCAGTGGTCTCAAGTATCTTTGATGAGACATTAAGTTACTCATCAGTCCTCTAAGTAATTCTGCAAAATTAGCTTATCAAGACTGTCTGCCTTTCCTCCAAGGTGGGCAGAGCTATTTGTTTGCTAAAGAGTATGTTAAGAATCTTTCTTCTGAAACTTCCTAGTTTTTTTAAAAAATACAATTTTGGCTTTAAGGTGGGATCTCCCTGTCTTTACTTTGCTGTTTATAGGTGGGCCTTTTAGCAGGCTAGAGTGAATCATACAATGATCTAATGGATACAATGAAGACATGGGCTGTGCTCAGATACTTTTATCTGGGAAATATTCAAACCTTCAAGGCCAAGTTTCTCTTGACCTTTTGAGCTTTAACTGATTAACTCACTAACTCTGAATCTTTTCTGGATTTCTAAATTTAACTGGTTAACCGAGTCCTTTCTAGGGGGCTTTGCTGGCCCTGTACTCTTTCCACCCCACTCATATGTATTTCCCTGCCTAACAGCCACACCCATGGCCCTTTCAGCCCTGCAGACACCTGGGCTTCTGGGCCCTCTTGGCTCTTCACAGCCAGGGTCCCTCCCCGGCCCTCCTCTCAGATTCCAGGTTCACAGCCCCTTTCTCGGGGCTGACCCCTGCCTCTCCCACAATACCAGCCAGTGATGCCACCAGCTCACCTCCATCCTCTCAGGCTGAGACATCTGCCACACCCCGGGCCCCGCCTGCCCCAGGCCCCACCCTGAAGCCCAGTGTTCTCTTTGGAACACTGAGCAGCCCACCTGCTAACCCTTCTGCCTTGGCAGCTCCTGCTGTGTCTTCAGCACGTCCCATGTTCAAGCACATCTTTGTGGCTCCACCTAAAAGTGGGAAGGAGGGTCCTGTGCCATGCAGCCATTCCCAAGTCACAACGGAGGCATCTTCCAGCTCTGCCCACACCCCGGCTACCAGCAGCCTCCCCTCACTTTCAGTCCTGTTTTTAGCAGCACAGGGCTACCTACATCTTTGCCCTTGTCAACTCCTTCCTCCTTCAGTCAGACAACTACTTCAGGCACTAGCATGAATACCCCTCTGTTCCCTGGCCCGTCCAGTGTCAGTGTCCCCTCAGCAGTGGCTTGGGGGACCACCACCAGCATAGCCGCAGACTCCGCCTGGAAGCCTGTCTTTGGCTCTGGTGTGAGCAGTGTGACCAGCACCATGAGCAGCATGACCAGCCCCACTGCTTCCACTGTGCAGCCTGTCCTCTTTGCGTCCCCCCTTGCCTCTGCTACCAGCTCTGCCCAGCCATGGGCTCCATACTCCAGTTTGGCAGGCGCTGGCCACGCCTCCTCCAACAACAGCCATCACCTTTAGCCAGTCCCTGCCCAGCGCTGTCCAGACAGCTGCTGGCAGCAGCACCACCAGTTTCGGTGGCTTCAGTGGCACCTTCACGACCTCCGCCCCGATCGCCCCAAGCCAGCCTGCACTGACATTAAGGAGCACTACCACCCCAGCCTTCAACATTCCCTTTGGTTCCAGTACCCCCCCATCCCATCCTATCCCGGAGTCACCCCACAGCACACGTTCAGAGCCACTGAGAGACAGCAAATGTGGACTGCCAGCCAGCACTGGCCCCCAGCTTCAGCAGCTCCTTTCCTTTTGGAAGCTCAGCATCCCTGGCCCCACCCCAGCCAGCCTTTGGCAGCACCATGTGGTCAGGTTTTCGTGGATTGAAACCCGCAGCCTCTCTTTTTGGCACCATCTCCAGCACCCAGTCAGCCTTTGGCAGCACCACAGCTGTTTCCTCCAATTTTTTTTATTTTGTGGCATTATTAATCTACAATTATTTGAGGAACATTATGTTTACTAGACTCCCCCTTCACCAAGTCCCCCCCACATACCCCATTAGTCACTGTTCATCAGCGTACTAAGATGCTGCAGAATCACTACTTGTCTACTATGTGTTGCACAGCACTCCCCATGCCCTCCCCAAATTATACATGTTAATCATAAGGCTCCCTTTCTTCTTCCACCCCTTCTCCCTCCCTTTCCACCTATCTTCCCCAGTCCCTTTCTATTTGGTAATTGTGAGTCCTTTCTTGGGTTCTGTGATTCTGCTGCTGTTTTATTCCTTCTGTTTTTCCTTTGTTCTTATATTCCAGAGATGAGTGAAATCATCTGGTACTTGTCTTTCTCCATCTGGCTTATTTCACTGACCATAATACCCTCTAGCTCCATCCATGTTGATGAAAATGGTAGGATTTGTTTTCTTCTTATGGCTGATTAATATTCCATTGTGTATATGTATCACATCATCTTTATCCATTCATTTACTGATGGACACTTAGGTTCCTTCCATTTCTTGGCTATTGTAAATAGTGCGATAAACATAGGGGTGCATCTGTCTTTTTAAAATTGGGCTGCTGCATTCTTAGGGTAAATTCCTAGAGGTGGTATTCCTGGGTCAAATGGTATTTCTATTTTGAATTTTTTGAGGAACCTCCATACTGCTTTCCATAGTGATTGAACTAAATTACATTCCCACCAGCAGGGGAGGAGGGTTCCCCTTTCTCCACATCCTTGCCAGCATTTGTTGTTGTTTGTCTTTTCGATGGTGGCAATCTTTACTTGTGTGAGGTGATATCTCATTGCAGTTTTAATCTGCAATTCTCTGATGACTAGCGATGTGGAGCATCTTTTCATGTGTCTGTTGGCCATCTGAATTTCTTCTTTGGAGAACTCTCTGTTCAGCTCCTCTGCCCATTTTTTAATTGGATTATTTGCATTTTGTTTCTTGAGGTGTGTGAGCTCTTTATGCATTGTTGATGTCAACCCTTTATTGGATCTGTCATTTATGAATATATTCATTATGAATATATTCTGCAGGATGCCTTTTTGTTCTATTGATGGTGTCCTTCCCTGTACAGAAGCTTTTCAGCTTGACATAGTCCTATATGTTCATTTTTGCTGTTGTTTCCCTTGCTGGGGGAGATATGTTCATGAAGAAGTCACTCATGTTTATGTCCAAGAGATTTTTGCTTATGTTTGTTCTAAGAGTTTTATGGTTTTGTGGCTTACATTCAGGTCTTTGATCCATTTCGAATATACTTTTGTGTATAGGGTTAGACAGTGATCCTCATTTCCTTCTCTTTTGCAGCCACCACCTCGGAGTTTGAAGCTACGACCCAGACCACCAGCAGCGGTGGCAGCACAACCTCATCCCATGTCACATCTGGGGTGTCAGCAGGCCCTGCTGTCAGCGGGGACTTTGGGATGAGCGTGTCAGACCCCCACAGCAGCTCCACCACTGGGGTATTCAACTTTGTGGCAGGATGGAGTGGGAGAACTGGTGGCACGGCCCCTTTCTGGGGATGCCTGAGTCAGAACTCCCTTGGTGCAGCTGGCCAGAGCACACTGTTTGCCATCTACGTGGCCAGGACACCTCAGGACACATCTGTGCTTGCAGGTGAGATTTGGAATGGGCTCGGTCTGCTGAGCCAGGTGCTGTTTTAAGTACCAACATAGTCTGCACTCTTGGAGGTCTACGCTGTAGTGAAGAGACAGATGTTATCTGTAAACAGTGTCAGGTAGCAGTGTAACTCGACCGGAGGAGCTATGTAGGTAGGCAGTGGGAGCCTTTCTGAGACAATAGTAAACTGAGGCCATGGCCACAGTTCCAGAGTTGGGAGCAGGGACAGGGGCTGGGGGTGAGGGCCTTCCAGGCACAGGATCAAAGGCCCAAACTCAGAGACGAGCTTATGTTTTAATGAGCAGAGAAGAGCCAGGTGTGGCTATAGCTTTAGAAAGGAAAGTGGTATAAAATGACGTTAAGAGACAGGCAGTAAGGAAGATCATTCACGGCCTTTTAAAATGTTTTTTATTTTTTGGTATAAATCTACAATTACATGAAGAACATTATGTTTACTAGGCTTCCCCCTTCAACAAGTCCCCCCCACGGACCCTATTATATTCAATGCCCATTAGTGTAGTAAGATGCTGTACAATTACCATGTGTCTTCTCTGTATTGCCCAGCCCTCCATCTGCCCCCGCCCACATTATATATGCAATTTGTAGTGCCCCCTTTCTTTTTCCTGCCTTTATCCCTCCCTTCTCACCCTCCCTGCTCAGTTCCTTTCCCTTTAGACTATTTCAATAGGTAGTCCAATCTTGGGTTCTGTGATTCTGCTGCTGTTTTGTTCCTTCAGTTTTTCTTTGCTCTTATACTCCACATATGAGTGAAATCATTTGGTACTTACCTTTCTCCGCCTGGCTTATTTCACTGAGCATAATACCCTCCAGCTTCATCCCTGTTGTTGCAAATGGTAGGATTTGTTTTCTTCTTTTGACTGAATAATATTCCATTGTGTATATGTACCACATCTTCTTTATCCACTCATCTACTGATGGACATTTAGGTTGCTTCCATTTCTTGGCTATTGTAAATAGTGCTGAGATAAACATACGGGTGCATCTGTCTTTTTCAAATTGGGCTGCTGCATCACTTAGGGTAAATTCCTACAAGTGGGATTCCTGGGTCACATGGGATTTCTATATTGATCTTTTTAACGAAGCTCCATACTGCTTTCACAATGGTTGAACTAATTTACATTCCTTCCAACAGTGTAGCAGGGTTCCCCTCTCTCCACAACCTTGCCAACATCTGTTGTGGTTTGTTGTTTGGATGGTGGCGATCCTTACTGGTGTGTGGTGATATCTCATTGTGGTTTTAATTAGCATTTCTCTGATGACAGGCGATGTGGTGCATCTTTTCATGTGTCTGTTGGGCACCTGAATTTCTTCTCTGGCCAACTGCCTGTTCAGCTCCCCTGCCCACATTTTTATTGCAATATTTCCTTTTTGTTTGTTGAGGTGTTTTAGCTCTTTATATATTCTGGATGTCAACCCTTTATCAGATCTGTCATTTAGGAATATATTCTCCCATACTGGAGGATGCCCTTTTGTTCTGTTGATGGTGCCCTTTACTGTAGAGTAGCTTTTAAGCTTGATATAGTCCCATTTGTTCATTTTTGCTTTTCTTCCCTGGAGAGATATGTTCACGAAGATGTCGCTCATGTTTATGGCCAAGACACTTTCCCCTGTCCTTCTCTAAGAGTTTTATGGTTTCGTGGCTTCCATTCAGGGGTTCGACCAATTTTGAACTTACTTTTGTGTATGGGGTTAGACAGTGATCCATGTTTCCCCCTTTTTTGCAGCCATCAAGTCCGGCTTTGGAGCAGTGACCCAGAACACCAGCTGTGGGACCCGTGGTACATCAGGGTTTGGCAGCACCATCCCAGCGCCCTTGACATCCAGGGTGTCAGCAGGCCCCACTGGCAGTGGAGGCTTTGGGACGAGCGTGGCTGCCCCCCACAGCAGCTCCACCACTGGGGCACTTGGCACTGCCTCAGGACGGAGTGGGAGAACTGGACTCAAGAACCCTTTCTGGGGTGCCTTGGATCCAAGCTCCCTGGGTGCGGCTGGCGAGAGCACACCATCTGCCGTCCATGTCGCCAGCACGCCTCAGAACACGCCCGGGTTTTCAGGTGAGGTTTGGAATGGGCTCAGTCTGCAGTGCCAGGCGCTGTCTTAAGTGCTGACACAGTCTCCGCATTCGGAGCTGTATGCTGTGGTGAAGATTTAGATGTTATCACAGAAGTTATCTGTAAACAGCGTCAGGTAGCAGTGTAAGCCATAAACGGAGAAGCTATTTAGGTAGTCAGCGGCAGCCTGTCTTAGACAATAGGAAACTGTTGCCATGGCCGCAGTTCCAGAGTTGGGAGCAGGGACAGAGGCGGGGGTGTGAGGACGTTGCAGGCACAGGAGCAAAGGCCCGAAGGCAGAGAAGAGCTTATGTTTTCATGAGCAGAGAAGAGCCAGGTGTGGCTAGCGGTTATAAAGGAAAGTGGAATAAAATGACATTAAGAGACACGCAGAAAGGAAGATCATTCACGGCCTTTAAAAAATTTTCTTTTTTTGGTATCTATCTACAATTACCTTAGGAACGTTATGTTTATGTGGCTCCCCTCTTCACCACGTACCCCGCACAAACCCCATTAGAGTCACTGTCCATCAGCTTAGTAACATACTGTAGAATCACTACTCGTCTTCTCTGTGTAGCCTAGCCCTCCCCGTGCCCCACCACATTATACATGCTAATCATAATGCCCCCTTTCTTTTTCCCTGCCCTTATCCCTCCCTTCCCACCCATCTTCCTCAGTCCCTTTCTCTTTGGTAACTGTTAGTCCATTCTTGGGTTCTGTGATTCTGCTCCTGTTTATTTCCTTCAGTTTTTCCTTTGCTCTTATACTCCAGAGATGAGTGAAACCATTTGGTACTTGTCTTTCTCCGCCTCGCTTATTTCACTGAGCGTAATACCCTCTAGCTCCAAGCATGTTGTTGCAAATGGTAAGATTTGTGTTCTTCTTATGGCTGAATTATATTCCATTGTGCATACATTCATCTACTGATGGACACGTAGGTTGTTTCCATTTCTTGGCTGTTGTCAATAGTGCTGCGATAAACATAGGGGTACATCTGTCTTTTACAAAACGGGCTGCTCTATTCTTCGGGTCAATTCCCAGGAGTGGTGTTGCTGGGTCAAATGGTATTCCTACTTTGAGCTTTTTGAGGAACCTCCGTATTGCTTTCCACAATGGTTGAACGAATTTACGTTCCCACCAACAGTGTAGGAGGGTTCCCCTCTCTCCACAACCTTGCCAACATCTGTTGTGGTTTGTTGTTTGGATGGTGGCGATCCTTACTGGTGTGTGGTGATATCTCATTGTGGTTTTAATTAGCATTTCTCTGATGACAGGCGATGTGGTGCATCTTTTCATGTGTCTGTTGGGCACCTGAATTTCTTCTCTGGCCAACTGCCTGTTCAGCTCCCCTGCCCACATTTTTATTGCAATATTTCCTTTTTGTTTGTTGAGGTGTTTTAGCTCTTTATATATTCTGGATGTCAACCCTTTATCAGATCTGTCATTTAGGAATATATTCTCCCATACTGGAGGATGCCCTTTTGTTCTGTTGATGGTGCCCTTTACTGTAGAGTAGCTTTTAAGCTTGATATAGTCCCATTTGTTCATTTTTGCTTTTCTTCCCTGGAGAGATATGTTCACGAAGATGTCGCTCATGTTTATGGCCAAGACACTTTCGCCTGTCCTTCTCTAAGAGTTTTATGCTTTCGTGGCTTCCATTCAGGGGTTCGACCAATTTTGAATATACATTTGTGTATGGGGTTAGACAGTGATCCATGTTTCCCCCTTTTTTGCAGCCATCAAGTCCGGCTTTGGAGCAGTGACCCAGAACACCAGCTGTGGGACCCGTGGTACATCAGGGTTTGGCAGCACCATCCCAGCGCCCTTGACATCCAGGGTGTCAGCAGGCCCCACTGGCAGTGGAGGCTTTGGGACGAGCGTGGCTGCCCCCCACAGCAGCTCCACCACTGGGGCACTTGGCACTGCCTCAGGACGGAGTGGGAGAACTGGACTCAAGAACCCTTTCTGGGGTGCCTTGGATCCAAGCTCCCTGGGTGCGGCTGGCGAGAGCACACCATCTGCCGTCCATGTCGCCAGCACGCCTCAGAACACGCCCGGGTTTTCAGGTGAGGTTTGGAATGGGCTCAGTCTGCAGTGCCAGGCGCTGTCTTAAGTGCTGACACAGTCTCCGCATTCGGAGCTGTATGCTGTGGTGAAGATTTAGATGTTATCACAGAAGTTATCTGTAAACAGCGTCAGGTAGCAGTGTAAGCCATAAACGGAGAAGCTATTTAGGTAGTCAGCGGCAGCCTTTCTTAGACAATAGCAAACTGTTGCCATGGCCGCAGTTCCAGAGTTGGGAGCAGGGACAGAGGCGGGAGTGTGAGGATGTTGCAGGCGCGAAGGCAGAGATGAGGTCAAATTTTCATGAGCACAGAAGAGCCAGGTGTAGCTAGAGGTTATAAAGGAAAGTGGAATAAAATGACATTAAGAGACACGCAGAAAGGAAGATCATTCACGGCCTTTAAAAATTTTTTTTTGGTATCTATCTACAATTACCTTAGGAACGTTATGTTTATTTGGCTCCCCTCTTCACCAAGTACCCCGCACAAACCCCATTAGAGTCACTGTCCATCAGCTTAGTAACATACTGTAGAATCACTACTCGTCTTCTCTGTGTAGCCTAGCCCTCCCCGTGCCCCACCACATTATACATGCTAATCATAATGCCCCCTTTCTTTTTCCCTGCCCTTATCCCTCCCTTCCCACCCATCTTCCTCAGTCCCTTTCTCTTTGGTAACTGTTAGTCCATTCTTGGGTTCTGTGATTCTGCTCCTGTTTATTTCCTTCAGTTTTTCCTTTGCTCTTATACTCCAGAGATGAGTGAAACCATTTGGTACTTGTCTTTCTCCGCCTCGCTTATTTCACTGAGCGTAATACCCTCTAGCTCCAAGCATGTTGTTGCAAATGGTAAGATTTGTGTTCTTCTTATGGCTGAATTATATTCCATTGTGCATACATTCATCTACTGATGGACACGTAGGTTGTTTCCATTTCTTGGCTGTTGTAAATAGTGCTGCGATAAACATAGGGGAACGTCTGTCTTTTTCAAAATGGGCTGCTGTATTCTTAGGGTAAATTCCTAGGAGCGGTATTCCTGGGTCAAATGGTATTTCTATTTTGAGCTTTTTGAGGAACCTCCATATTGCTTTCCACAATGGTTGAACGAATTTACATTCCCACCAACAGTGTAGGAGGGTTCCCCTCTCTCCACAACCTTGCCAACATTTGTTGTGGTTTGTCTTTTGGATGGTGGCGATCCTTACTGGTGTGAGGTGATATGTCATTGTGGTTTTAATTTTCATTTCTCTGATGACAAGTGAAGTGGTGCATCTTTCCATGTGTCTATTGGCCACCTGAATTTCTTCTTTGGAGAACTGCCTGTTCAGCTCCCCTGCCCACATTGTCATTGTAACATTTGCATTTTGTTTGTTGAGGTGTGTTAGCTCTTTATATATTTTGGATGTCAACCCTTTATTGGATCTGTCATTTATCAATATATTCTCCCATACTGTAGGATGCCCTTTTGTTCTGTTGACGGTGCCCTCAGCTGTTCAGAAGCTTTTAAGCTTGACATAGTCCCATTTGTTCATTTTTCCTTTCTTTCCCTGGAGAGAGATGTTGACGAAGAAGTCGCTCATGTTTATTTCCAGGATATTTTCACCTGTCTTTCTCTAAGTGTTTTATGGTTTCTTGGCTTACTTTCGGGGGTTCGATCAATTTTGAATTTACTTTTGTGTATGGGGTTAGACAATGATCCATGTTTGCTCCTTTTTTGCAGCCATCACCTCTGGCTTTGGTGCTGTGACCCAGCCCACCAGCTGTGGGACCAGGACGTCCGGGTTCGGCAGCACCGTCTCAGCGCCCTTCACATCTATGATGTCAGCAGGCCCCACTGGCAGTGGGGTCTTTGGAACACGCGTGCCTGTCCCCTACATCAGCCCCACCACTGGGGCATTTGGCTGTGGGTCAGGACAGAGTGGGAGAACTGGTCTCAAGAACCCTTTTTGGGGAGCCTTAAAACCGAGCTCCCTGGGTACAGGTGGCCAGAGCACACCATCTACTTTCCATGTGGCCACCGCACCTCAGAGCACTCCTGGGTTTGCAGGTGAGATTTGGAATGGGCTCGGTCTGCAGTGCCAGGTGCTGTCTTAAGTGCTGACACAGTCTCCGCTCTCGGAGCCGTATGCTGTGGTGAAGATTTAGATGTTATCACAAAAGTTATCGGTACACAACATCAGGTAGCCTTGTAACTCATAACAGTGGAGCTATTACGTAGTCAGCGGCAGCCTTTCTGAGACAATAACAAACTGAGGCCATGGCCGCAGCTCCAGAGTTGGGAGCGGGGACAGTGGCTGGGGGTGAGGACGTTACAGGCACAGGAGCATAGGCCCAAAGGCAGAGATGAGCTTATGTTTTCGTGAGCAGAGAAGAGCCAGGTGTGGCTAGAGGTTATAAAGGAAAGTGGGATAAACTGACATTAAGAGACAGGCAGAAAGGAAGAACATTCACGGCCTTTTAAAATGTTTTTTCTTCCTTTGGTATCTATCTACAATTACCTTGAGAACATGTTTATTTGTCTCCCCTCTTCACCAAGTACCCTGCACAAACCCCATTAGAGTCACTGTCCATCAGCTTAGTAACATACTGTAGAATCACTACTCGTCTTCTCTGTGTAGCCTAGCCCTCCCCGTGCCCCACCACATTATACATGCTAATCATAATGCCCCCTTTCTTTTTCCCTGCCCTTATCCCTCCCTTCCCACCCATCTTCCTCAGTCCCTTTCTCTTTGGTAACTGTTAGTCCATTCTTGGGTTCTGTGATTCTGCTGCTGTTTTGTTCCTTCAGTTTTTCCTTTGCTCCTATACTCTGGAGATGAGTGAAATCATTTGGTACTTGTCTTTCTCCGCCATGCTTATTTCACTGAGCATAATCCCCCCTAACTCCAACGATGTCGTTGCAAATAGTAGGATTCATTTTCTTCTTAAGGCTGAATTGTATTCCACTGTGCATACATTCATCTACTGATGGACACGTAGGTTGTTTCCATTTCTTGGCTGTTGTCAATAGTGCTGCGATAAACATAGGGGTACATCTGTCTTTTACAAAACGGGCTGCTCTATTCTTAGGGTCAATTCCTAGGAGCGGTATTCCTGGGTCAAATGGTATTTCTATTTTGAGCTTTTTCAGGAACCTTCATATTGCTTTCCACAATGGTTGAACGAATTTACGTTCCCACCAACAGTGTAGGAGGGTTCCCCTCTCTCCACAACCTTGCCAACATTTGTTGTTTGTCGTTTGGATGGTGGCGATCCTTACTGGTGTGTGGTGATATCTCATTGTGGTTTTAATTAGCATTTCTCTGATGACAGGCGATGTGGTGCATCTTTTCATGTGTCTGTTGGGCACCTGAATTTCTTCTCTGGCCAACTGCCTGTTCAGCTCCCCTGCCCACATTTTTATTGCAATATTTCCTTTTTGTTTGTTGAGGTGTTTTAGCTCTTTATATATTCTGGATGTCAACCCTTTATCAGATCTGTCATTTATGAATATATTCTCCCATACTGGAGGATGCCCTTTTGTTATGTTGATGGTGCCCTTTAATGTAGAGTAGCTTTTTAGCTTGATGTAGTCCCATTTGGTCATTTGTGCTTTTCTTCCCTGGAGAGATATGTTCACGAAGATGTCGCTCATGTTTATGGCCAAGATACTTTCGCCTGTCCTTCTCTAAGAGTTTTATGGTTTCATGGCTTCCATTCAGGGGTTCGACCAATTTTGAATTTACTTTTGTGTATGGGGTTAGACAGTGATCCATGTTTGCTCCTTTTTTGCAGCCATCACCTCCGGCTTTGGAGCAGTGACCCAGACCACCAGCTGTGGGACCAGTAGTACATCAGGGTTTGGCAGCACCATCTCAGCACCCTTGACATCCAGGGTGTCAGCAGTCCCCACTGGCAGTGGGGGCTTTGGGACAAGTGTGGCTGCTCCCCACAGCAGCTCCACCACTGGGGCATTTGACACTGCATCAGGACGGAGTGGGAGAACTGGTCTCAAGAACCCTTTCTGGGGAGCCTTGGATCCAAACTCCCTGGGTGCAGCTGGCCAGAGCACAACCTCTCCCGTCCACATGGCCCGGTCACCTCAGAACACATCTGGGATTGCAGGTGCGGTTTGGAATGGGCTCTGTGTGGAGTGCCAGTTTCTGTTTTAAGTGCTGAGAGTGTCTCTGCTTTTGGAGCTGTACGCTCTTCTGCACATTTAGATGTTATTACAGAGGTTGTCTGTAAAGAGCTTCAGGTATCAGTGTACCTCATCACCAGAGGAGCTCTTTTTTGTAGTTAGTGGCAGCCTTTATGAAACAGTAGCGAACTGAGACAATGGCCGCAATTCCAGAGTTGGGAGTTGAAACATCGGCTGGGGTTGAGGACTTTGCAGGCACAGCAGCAAAGGCGTGATGGCAGAGATGAGCTTATATTTTCATGAGCAGAGAAGAGCCAGTGTGGCTAGAGGTTTAAAAAGGAAAGTGGGATAAAATGACATTAAGAGACAAGCAGAAAGGAAGATCATTCATGGCCTTTTAAAATGGTTTTTTGTTTAACAATCTACAATTACCTTAAGAACATTATGTTTATTTGGCTCCCCCCTTCACCAAGTACCTCGCACAGACCCCATTAGAGTTACTGTCCATCAGCATAGTAACATACTGTAGAATCACTACTTCTTTTCTGTGTGTAGCCTAGCCCTTCCCGTGCCCTCCCCACATTATATATGCTAATCATAATGTCCTGTTTCTTTTTCCCTGCCCTAATCCCTCCCTTCCCATCCATCCTCCTCAGTCCCTTTCACTTTGTCATTCTTGGGTTTCGTGATTGTGCTTCTGTTTTGTTCCTTCAGTTTTTCCTTTGCTCTTATACTCCAGAGATGAGTGAAATCATTTGGTACTTGTCTTTCTCCGCCTCACTTATTTCACTGCACAAAATACCCTCTAGCTCCATCCATGTTGTTGCAAATGGTAGGATTTGTTTTCTTCTTACAGGTGAATTATATTCCATTGTGCATATGTATGAAATCGTTTTTATCCATTCGTCTACTGATGGACACTTAGTTTGTTTCCATTTCATGGCTGTTGTCAATAGTGCTGCAATAACTATAGTGGTGCATCTGTCTTTTTTCAAACTGGACAGCTGTATTCTTAGCATAAATTAGTTGGTTTGGAATTCCTGGGTCAAATGGTATTTCTATTTTGAGCTTTTTGAGTAACCTCCATATTGCTTTTCACAAAAGTTAAATGAATTTACATTCCCACCAACAGTGTAGAAGGATTTCCATTTCTCCACAACCTTGCCAAGATTTGTTGTTGTTTGTGTTTTGGATGGCGGCTATCCTTACTGGTGTGAGGTGATATCTCATTGTGGTCTTAATTGGCATTTCTCTGATGACAAGTGATATGACGCATGATTTCATGTGTCTATTGGCCATCTGAATTTCTTCTTTCAAGAACTGTCTGTTTAGCTCCTGTGCCCATTTTTTAATTGGAATATTTGCTTTTTGTTTGTTAAGCTGTTAGCTCATTATATATTTTGGATGTCAACCCTTAACCAGATCTGTCATTTATGAATATATTCTCCCATACTCTAGGATGTCCTTTTGTTCTGTTGATGGTGTTCTTTACTTTTCAGAAGCTTTTAACCTTGATATAGTCCCATTTGTTCATTTTTGCTTTTGTTTCCGTTGCCTGAGGAGATACATTCAAGAAGATGCTGATGTTTATGTCTAAGAGATTTTTGCTGTCTTTGTCTAAACGTTTTATACTTTCATGGCTTACATTCAGGTCTTTGATCCATTTCAAATTTACTTTTGTCTATGGGTTTAGACAATGATCCATGTTTCCTCCTATTTTGCAGCAATCACCTCGGCCTTTGCAGCTATGACCCTGACCACCAGCAGCGGGACCAGTATGTCAGTGTTCAGCGGCACTACCTTATCACCATTTACATCCAGGGTGTCAGCAGGTCCCGCTGGCAGTGGAGGTTTTGTGATCAGTGTGGCTGCGGCCCACAGTAGCTCCACCACTGGGTCATTCGGACTTGGGTCACGACGGAGTAAGACAACTGGTCTCAAGAACCCTTTCTGGGGAAGGTTGAATCCAAACTCCCTGGGTGCAGCTCGCCAGAGCACACTCTCGACTTGCCACGTGACCAGGACACCTCAGGACACGTCTGAGATTGCAGGTGAGATTTGGAATGGGCTAGCCATTCCAAATAAATAAAATGACATTAAGAGACAGGCAGAAAGGAAGATCATTCATGGCCTTTAAAATTTTCTTTTTCTTTTTTTTATATCTTTCTACAATTACCTGAAAAACAGTAAGTTTACTTGGTTCCCCCCTTACCCCACACAAACCCCATTAGTGTCCCTGTCCGTCAGCCTAGTAACATGCTGTAGAATCACTACTTGTCTTCTCTGTGTAGCCTAGCCCTCCCCTGGCCAGAGCACACCACTTCCCTTCCACGTGGCCAGCACACATCAGAACACGTCTGGGATTGCAGGTGAGATTTGCAATTGTCTCGGTCTGCAGTGCAAGGCACTGTTTTAAGTGCTGACCCAGTCTCTGCTTTGGGAGCTGTATGCTGTGGTGAAGATTTAGATGTTGTGACAGAAGTTATTCATAAACAGCAGCAGGTAGCAGTGTAACTCATGACCGGTGGAGCTATTTAGGTAGACAGTGGCCGCCTTTCTGAGACAATAGCAAACCGAGGCCATGGCCGCAGTACCAGAGTTGGGAGCAGGGACAGCGGCTGGGGGTGAGGACGTTGCAGGCACAAGAGCAAAGGCCCGAAGGCAGAGATGAGCTTATGTTTTCATGAGCAGAGAAGAGGCCAGTGTGGCTAGAGGTTTACAAAGGAAAGTGGGATAAAATGACATTAAGAGACAGGCAGAAAGGAAGATCATTCATGGCCTTTAAAATTTTTCTTTTTTTGGTATCTATCTACAATTACCTGAAAAACACTAAGTTTACTTGGTTCCCCCCGCACAAACCCCATTAGTGTCCCTGTCCGTCAGCCTAGTAAGATGCTGTACAATCACTCCTTGTCTTCTCTGTGTAGCCTAGCCCTCCCCATTCACCCCCACATTATGTATGCTAATCATAATGCCCCCTTTCTTTTTCTCTGCCCTTATCCCTCCCTTCCCACCCATCCTCCTCCTCAGTCCCTTTCCCTTTGGTAACTGTTTTTCCATTCTCGGGTTCTGTGATTCTGCTGCTGTTTTGTTCCTTCAGTTTTTCCTTTGTTCTTATACTCCAGAGATGAGTGAAATCATTTGGTACTTGTCTTTCTCTGCTTGGCTTATTTCACTGAGCATATTACCCTCCAGCTCCATCTATGTTGTTTCAAATGGTAGAATTTTTCTTCTTATGGCTGAATTATATTCCATTGTGCATATGTATCACATCTTTTTTATCCATTCATCTACTGGTAGACACGTACGTTTTTTCCTTTTCTTGGCTGTTGTAAACACTACTGCGATAAACATAGGGGTGCATCTTTCTTTTTCAAACTGGGCTGCTGTATTCTTAGGGTAAATTCCTTGGAGTGATATTCCTGGGTCAAATGGTATTTCCTTTTTGAGCTTTTTGAGGTACCTCCATATTGCTTTCCACAATGGTAGAACAAATTTACATTCCCACCAACAGTGTAGGAGGGTTCTCCTTTCTCCACAACCTCGCCAACATTTCTTGTTGCTTGTCTTTTGGATGGTAGCTTTCCTTACTGGTGTGAGGTGATATCTCATTGTGGTTTTAATTTACATTTCTCTGATGAGAAGCAATGTGGCCCATCTTTTCATGTGTCTATTGGC